GTTTATTTAGCTCATCCTGACGCTGCTTATAAGTCCAGGTGTAGCCATGCTGCACCATCATCTCCAATATCTCTGTAAATGTGCTCATTTCTTGTGGCGCTGTCCAGCTCATGCTGAATCTTGACATAGGCCAATAAAGTTCTAAGGTCTGTACCTCATCACTGGTCCACAGCACTATTTTTGGCGCTTACATACCAGAAACTAGAAAAAAAAAAAAAACCACACTCAAGACAATCAGAGAGGAAGTGAAAGTTCAGATCTAGTTTGCAATTTTGCTGGGCGGGTCCTCCAGGGACATAGCTCCGCTGGCTAATCAACAGCTGCTGTCTGTGTACATAAAAGTCATCACCTTGGAGCAGTTTGCTTGGAACCATGAACAAGATAGTTGCATAAACTGGGCTGTGTGTGTGGGTACCAGCAGTGGGCAGGCCCTTAACTGGTGCAGTGCAGAACCAATGAGTGTAGAGACAGTAGCAAAGTGGCACTTGACTGGTCTGTGCAGTCCCTGACACAACAAACTGTGATATGTTCAGGACAAATCATTTGTAGGGATCTGAGCTTAAGTAGCTTTTCATTTGAATGAACAGCATGGACCAACCTTTACTGCTCATGTGCTTCAGTGAGTCTAGGCCAACCATGGCCATGTGCCAGTTCACAGTTTTCTTTTTGATCCTTCTACAGACTGCTTGTGATAGGTCCTGAAAATATGAGACCACCCCCACCCAACATACACATTCATGACGTACATTTCTCTGACGTACACTGTGTGGTGGAGAATCCCCTGCTTCCATACTGTTGCACAATCAGGGGATGATTAGTGGTTTTCATTAAGAGGCTGTCTGCAGTAGATGGCCATTTTTCAACAGCTCGGGACTTTGTGTGCATGTGTGTCTGGTTTGACCCAGTCCCTGTTTTTGTCTAACCCATCATATGTTTTAAATCACTGGGCTGACAGACAAAAAGGATGGAGACAGCCAGATATTTGGGTGTGGCGTGCATGCTGCATAAACACTCTTGTTGATACACACCCATACACAGAGAAACTGGCCATGCAAGAGATTTCATGTGTTTAGGAGGGAGTCCTTACTTAAAGGCCTGAGGCTGTGTATTTTGTACCATTAATAAGGTCTGAATTCCTTATCAGATTAAATTTTCTTAGAGTGTTACCTTAATATAAATTCAGTTTTTATGTTTTAGATCACAACAATCAGCCTACACTACTGCACGGCATCACTTCCTGCAGAACAAAGGTGGACGCCATCAAAGGTCTAGTTTAATGACTGAAAGGAATGCTGTTAATTGGCAGGCAGCAGTTTTTTCTCATAGTAGATTGTTAGCAGCATGCCTTGAAGAATTATTATTATTATATGGTGAATAATAGGTTAGTACATAACAGCTTAAATCATTGACACTTCATTGGTGTTTGAGGTGTACATAGGCCTGTCATGATAATAAATTTTGCTGGGCGATTAATTGTCTCAGAAAATATTGCGATAAACGATAATATGTTTGAAATTTGACAATAATTAGTAATTATTGTCAATTTTAACAAGAAATGCTGGTTAATTTTGTGTGTAGTACATTTTTTTACCACTGGATGGCAGTATAAGACAGTTTGAACCAAAGGATGGATAGTGAGGGAGCGAGCAGCGTGTCTCTTTAAGAAAAATGGGAAGGAGGCCCCTTGACGTGACATGGGCTGTCTCTCTTTCCTGTTTTTCGGTTCTCAAAATGGCGGATGCTCGGTGTGGTTTGAGCTCTTTAGCATAGCATTTTTCACACAAAGCTTTTAATAAAAAAAAAATCAGTTAACTAGTTCTCAGCTTCTTTTTGCAGAGAGAAACAACTTTTTACATGAAGGCACGGGTTTCAGCCGTGAATTTTGGAGCTTCGACAAGACAGAGGTTTTTTCCGAGGTCGGCCTGTTAGCTTAGCTCGTAGCTTAGCTGCTTTTGACAATCCCAAAACGTGATTTTGGACGGTTAAAATGGATTTTAAAGAAAAGAGAAAGGGAGGGGTCAGTGAAGAGCACCAGAGTGGAGCCTTTTGTCATCCAGTGTCTTCAGTAGAAAGAGAGAGACACGAAGAAACGATAAAGCCGATAAATGAAAATGAGGTCGATAATTTTCATTTTTTATGCGATTAATTGATTTATGGTTTATCGTGACAAGCCTAGATGTACATAGCGTGAACCTCAAATCCATGTGACACTGCCGACAGAGAACTAGTCAAAAGTCAAAATGTGGCAGCTTTAATGGGGTTTTATATTTGTTAACATGCACATGTTCTTATTCTAGAGGTTTGGACTCAAGAGTTTACAGATAAAAATATGTACTGTCTCCACCTCCTTTAGTTTAAAGATAATGTCAACAGGAACCGATTAATATATGCTGCTATGTACTTTTGGAACCCCAGTCTGAGACCTATTATTGCAGGGCTTTAATTCTCACCTTCTCCCCACACACAATAATGGTGTCACATGACCTGTCTTTAAAGCAATAAATAACTAATTACAGTTAACATGTTACAAAATTGAATATTTGAACAGAGGTGGAGGAGACAAGACCTAAAATTTGTCCTAGGACCGTCCTGTGGAGACGGTGTTCCCTTTTTATAAATATTTAAAACCATTATCTTCTAACACCAAGTTCTAGTTGAATGTTAGCAAATTGTTCATTTTTAAGGGAATATTCTTGCTTGTTGTTACCGTTTGTACATCAACACTGTTTTTTCAAATGGCTTATAAAATTTACTAAATAAAAAATTTTAATTGTAATACAAAAGCTTGCCATTCATTTTTGTATAGGAACTTTGTTTGATGGACTTTCACAGAACTTAAGGTAAAACAAGCTGATGTCCCCCGTCACTGAGGGATTTGTATAGTGAATGTTTTTAAGATTAATGTTTTTCTGGACTGGAATTGAAGAGGGAATGCAAGTGAACCTTAATGTTTTTGGTGCAAGGCATTCAAGTGGATAGGAGTTGCACTGTGTGTAAGAACAGAGGAAGGTTTATTATTATTCCAACAAAGTTACCGTATTTTCGGACTATAAGGTGCACAGGATTATAAGGCATATTAAGCAAAACAAAACAGTCAGATAAGTCAAAATTTATTCAACTCATTCACAATAACTCTCAACATTGTTCAGTTGTAACACATAAAATCTGTTTGAGGTCAGTAAGCACAACCAGGATTAATACATAAGGCTCACTGTCGATTTTTGAGAAGATTAAAGGATTTTAAGTGTGCCTTATAGTCAGAAAAATACGGTAAATCAGGTCCTCTGGATGGTTTATATTTGTTGAAAAGTTTCGTCCTTCATCCAAAAGACTTCTTCAGTCCGAGGAGCCACAAGAACTGAGTCCCAAAAGTAGCACAATCACACGGTGGGCCAACCAGTTTGAAGGTGATAAAATGGTTTTTGGAGTCCGGCCTCTCCTTCATCGACTCCTCTGAGGCAGCCATGGCCAAAGTGGTTCAAATTTACTTGGATTATCCAGATAATCCAGGATTATTGTGCATGAACTTTGATGTTTTGAACCACTTTGACTATGGCTGCCTCATGCTAGTCGACAGGGGAGAGGGAGGGCCACAGACACCATTTTATCACCATCAAACTGGTTGGCCCACCATGTGAGTGTGCTACTTATGGGACTGAGTATGTTGTGGCTCCTCGGACTGATGAAGTCCTTTGGATGAAAGACTTAACATTTCAACAGAAAGAAACTGTCCAGAGGACCTGGCTTAATTTTGTTGGATTATTTATCTGGATTACCGAGCATGAACTTTGATGTTTATCATCATTATTATTTTTATTTTGCTTATTTGCACAGAATGACTAGTCCTGGCAATATTATCTGCCAACAGTCACAATGGAAGAACTGGAGGGTGGCCAACAGTGGCCTTGGCCTCCATAGATTAATCTTCAGTCACTCCACTGGACATTCAAATCATTTGAAAAAACAATATTTTTAAGCAATATAAAAACTGGAAAGCATAATTTCCTTAAATAATTGAGCTAGCTGGTTTATATATATATTGTAGTGGCCATCTTGGATTTTGACGTCGTACCCCAATTTTTGATAGAGACATACGCCTAAATGCATCAAAACACCAAAATGGACTATTTTGCAATCTAACCTTAGAAAACTCTCAAAGGAGACCTCTAAATTGATTTTTTTTTAATTAATTTAAATTCTGCCATAAGTCTCATAAAACATGGGATGAACTTATCAGAAAATAATATTTTATAGCACATCACCATCAGTAACTACCTTTTGGATCCAACTCGGTCTTGACAAAAATGGCTGTAACTTCTAAATAAAGAAACAACATAGTATGGATGCAAGCCCAGCAGCTCATAGAGCGTCAGCTGAAGTTGTGACCCCGATTACCACAACCAAGAAGTAAATATTTTTCCAAGGTTTGCTTGATTAGATCCCAGAGGGAGCCAGATAAGTTGATCTAACTCAGCAGATAAAATGAAACATCCTTAACTCCGAGTAGCCCTGACACATTTAGATTCACAAGTATATTTTGATAACATGATATATGGTAATCACGTACTAGGCAAGTGCTCATTTTTTTCAATTGGTAACATTTGTTTTCTTTAGAGGCACAACAATGACAGTGGTGGAAAAATCTATACGGAAAACTTTGCTAACCATTGTCTGCCGTTTTATACCGCATTCTAAAATCCAAAGGTTGATGGTCAGTCGATTAAAAGTATTTCCCTAAAAGAAAGTCCTTATACACAGTATATTTTGAGTAGATTATGTGTAGAAATCCAAAGGAACTGAAAAGTTGTATCAGTTGAAGCAGTTGCGGTCCTGACCCGGATATCTGACCTTTCTTTGAGGAAGAGTTCAGAAAGAAGTTTCCTATGGGGATCAATAAAGTTTGCTGTGCTCCTGAGGACGAGTGAAAACATCCCCAAAGCGAGCCAAGCAGAGTGGATGTGTTGTGTTTTTCATGCCTACTTTCTGTCTCCCCCCCTCAGATTTCCACCCTGCGGCGCCAGGGCCGGACTCTGCTCTCCACTGTGCCAGAGACCGCTGAGAAAGAAGCTCACTCTCTGTTTGTTCAAGAGGTAAAACCTGGATACAAGCCTTCTTTGTCTATTCTCTGTTCGGCCATCTTGGCCTCTGTGACAGGACTACTTCCCTGCGCTGTCCTTCAGTTTAAGCATGACAAGGTTTTATTTATTTAACCTAAACATGGGTGGTTAATCTCAGTCCAGACCAAAGATGTCCAATCTTGGTCTTCGAGGGTGACTGTCTTGCGTGTTTTGGAGGTTTCTCTGCTCCAACACACCTGATTTGAATTAATAGGTGATAAACACACTTTTGCTGAACATGAAGAGATAATTAAAATGATTGAATGACTGAATCATTAAAATCATAATCAATTAGAATCAGGTATGCTGGAGCAGAGAAATAAGTACACAGATTAAACATCCTTAGTTTAGACCAGTGGTTCCAACACTGGTCCTTGAGGAACACCATTCTGCATGTTTTAGCTGTTTCTCTGCTCCAACACACCTGATTCAGTAGTTTAATTACTTCCTTAAGTTCGGCAGAAACCTGTTAATCACACTTTCATTCAAGTCAGGTGTGATGGAGCAGAAGAACAACTAAAACAAGAAGAGTGGTATTCCTCAGGGACCAGGGTTGGGAATCACTGATTTAGACAGATGAACATGCATTCATATAATCAAAGTTTGTGCTCAATAATCCAGGTAAAAAAATCCAACAAAGTTAAGTCAGGTCCTCTGGACTGTTTCTTTTTGTTGAAACGTTCCGTCTTTCATCCAAAAGACTATTTTAGTCCGAGGAGCCACAACAAACTCAGTCCCATAAGTAGCACACTCACATGGTGGGCCAACCAGTTTAATGGTGATAAGATGGTTTCTGGGGCCTGCCCTCTCTCGCGTCAACTCGTCTGAGGCAGCCATAGCCAAAGTGGTTCAAAACATCAAAGTTCATGTACAATAATCCTGGATTAATCTGGGTAATCCAGGTAAATTTGAACAACTTTGGCCATGGCTGCCTCAGAGGAGTCAATGGGGGAGAGGGCGGACTCCAGAAATGATGTTATCACCATCAAAACTTATTGGCGGCCCACTATGTGAGTGTGCTACTTATGGGACTGAGTTTGTTGTGGCTTCTCGGACTGATTAAGTCCTTTGGATGAAAGACGAAACATTTCAACACAAAAAAAAAATGTCCAGAGGACCTGATTTAACATTTTGGACGCATTCCTATCTTTAAATCTGGACAGATGCTGGAGCTCAGATAATCTAACATGATGCCAGTTGCATGCAGAAGAACCAAATACAGCCACAACAGCCCACACCTCATCCTCATGTTGCTCAACTGCTTGGGCACACAATGTTGTGCATTACATTCTTCAACTAGTATGGTTGTGTACCCATCACTGCACTCTGTGCTCATTGGTCAGTTGGTCATCATTATCTACACGTAGGCTCTCACACTGGTTCATCTTAGTCTATAAATCACTCCTTGGTCTGCTGACTTCTTTTATCTTGTCCCACTTGTCATGTCGTCAGTGCAGTTACGACGTGCGCTCTCAGGGATTCATTACCTGCAGTGTCCCCTCAGTGGAACCTGAACTTGACAAAAAGGCTTTTTCTTACTTTGCCCCTGTAACCTGGAACACCTTGCAACAAGATCTGAAGCTGTTGATTTTGATGTCAAAGCTTCTTTATTTGTCACTAGCGCTGTTATTTCTAACCCAGGCCCGAAGCCCGGCCTGACCCGACCCAAATTTGTGCTGGGCCGGGCCATAATATTGTGCTGGATGGGTGGGCCGGGGTCCGTGTCGGGCTTTTGATTGTGTCAGCGAACGCGCACAGCTGACAATCAAATTATATGGTAACATGGCTTGCCATACATTCACCAGCCGCACGTGGGCATTTGACCGCGAGCTGACCGGCCTTGAAAGAGGTAAAAAATAAAGTTCAGTTAAGCTTCAGATGAGACTACCAGTACTGCCAGGATGTGATCCATCGCCCAAATGGACGTTCAGCCACTGCACTCAGCGGACGCACGTGGCCAACAACCCAAACAGGTGAGATCCCAACGCAAACATGTCAGAGCAGGGTCCATGTCTGAATAATGCAGAATGCAGGCAGAAGCATGTGCTTTGATGGCCATGAAAGGACAAAAAAACCCTCAGCTCTGATCTTCTGCCCCTTTTATTCAGCCGCTCACGTCTGGCAACCGTTAATAACTATATAAGCAGTCAAAACTTAATTAAAAATGTCGGGGGGGGGGGGGGGGGGTTGTTCAGGTTCGGACCTTTAATTACTGTCAATTTGTCGGGTTGGGTGGGGGTTGGAAATGATGGCTACTGGCTGGGGCCGGGTCAGGTCTGATTTTTTTGGACCTGAATGCAACTCTAGTTTGCACATGTGGTGGAACGAAATTGTGTACACAGGGTCCCAGTTACCCTGTGTACACAATTTCGTAAGGGATTTTAAACATTTGATAATGTCAATAGAAATATCAAAGCAAATATCTTCTTGTTTTTAGTGTTTTACCTTGTTTTATATGGCATCTTGATTTGACTGTGTTCATAACTTCCTTTTATTTGATTTTAATTGCTTTTAGTTTATGTATTGTTGTCTGCACTTTATATGTTGTCTGTCTAAAACAGGTCTCTCTTGAAAACGAGTCCTCGTGACTCAATGAGACTAATCTGTATAAGAAAGGTTGAATGAATGAATGAATGTGTTGGTCACTCAAACAGCATCCTCATCACACAGTTGTTCAATGGGGATGAGGTCAGGACTGTAGGAAGACCACTCCATCCTCTATACTCCACAATTGTAGAGGTAGTCTTTGATCACCCTCGTTCTGTTGGCTATGTTGCCTTCTTGAAGGACAAAATTCTGTCCCAGACCGTGGAGATCCCTGGTTCCTCACAGGTGCTGACAGTCACACACCAATCATATGCCTGATTGTCATCACCTGGGGTACCAGACACACAAAACAAGAGTCCATAGCAAAATAAGCTTTGGCAAAAAAGATTTGATACGTTTTTCATCGGTGCAACTCACATATTCACATCAACCTATTCAACGTTTAGAAGTACCGGTACTTTCCTTGCAATGAATTTAAAGAGAAGTGAAAACTGGCACAGAACACATCAGTTATGTTGTTTTATAGTTTTAAATGAACTTCTATTTATGTTCTCCACCTTCACGTCTCCTGAGAGGGTCGGCTGTTTCAAAGGAGCTGCGAGCTTGAGTTGGTTTGGGTTGGGTCTAGGTGATAGTCCCAATGCAGCCAAGAATGACATCATTCCTACATCTGGAGCAGCTGTGCTTTCTTCTACACATGGGATGTTTTTTTCTTTCTTATTTTTACTGAATTTGTGAAGTTATTTTTGTGACCTTTTGGCTCATTCTGTATGAATGTGCAAATTTTTTGAGGGTTCTGACTTTTTAAATATCAAGATCCCTGTCGAGTCTGTGTGACGCAATTCTGCTGCAGCAAGAAATCTTACAGTCCGACATCTTTTAAATCTGAACAGGATGACACGGCTTACTATCAAGATTTTATAACGTCGTGACTTGTACGTGTCACACATAGTATGGCATGTTTACAATTTTTCAAATCACACAGTGCGTGCTAACCTTTAGCAGAGCCCTTGACGCAAAAGGTCGGGGTTACTCAGGTGGAACATGGGGATGAATATAATATGAGGAGTGTTTTAGCTAATCAGCATTTTTGATAATAATTTTAGGCCTGTGGGTGTCGCTTGCTTGATTCGGCAACATATTTGTTCCACCCATTCTCTTAGAAAAAGCACTTTGAGTGAATCCTAATGTATTCCCTTGTCTTCCCTTCACCCTCTTTCTGTCTCTGCAGTGCATCAAAACATACAAGTCTGACTGGCACGTGGTCAACTACAAGTATGAGGAGTATTCTGGAGACTTCCGCCAGCTTCCAAAGTGAGTGGATGCGTTTCAGAAGCAGATGTACAAATGGGTTTAATTGAGTATATATCTTCGTAACTCATTTTATCTGAACTCAATACACTCTGTAGCCCTGAATCCTTTTTAAGATCTACCTTTTATTTACAACCAGTGCTTGAGGTGGGCCTTTACTCACTGGTACACAGTTTGTTTATATAGCACCAGTTCACAACAAATGTCCCAGGACACCGTACAAAAACATTCCCATACATTATTAATGCCAATTAGTAAAATATTTTCTATCAAATGAAGTCAGCAGATTGCATTGAATGTCCACTTCATCGCAACTTTCCATCCTGAGCAGCACACAGGCGACAGTGGAAAGAAAAATCTCCCTTATAACAGGAAAAACCCACCTGCAAAACAGGGCTCATCATAGGCAGCCATCTTCCTCGACTGGAAACACAGTATCAGAAGTTTCTTATCCTTAGCATATTGTCTTTTTTTTGGCTTACCACTGCTTTTCATAAGACATTGGAACAAAACATATGTATAAGATCTGAAGCCAGTATCTCACTGGTCTGCAGCTGTGATGAAAGCACTTGCAAGAGTCTCCAAAGCGTCACAAAACAATTCCCAGGGTTATCAAATTACTTGCATTAGTCACGTAGGCTCACATTTAATTTCGTTTCTTGTATTTGAATGCGTTCAAAAAGTTTGTGTGACATTGTTCTATAAAAACGGTTCCAAAACTGTTGCAGGCGTCTCAAACCCTTCTCAGTTTTGTTGCAAGCATCTCAAACCTGTAAATTTAACTCCTACAGGAGAGCCCTGCTTGGACAGAAAATATAGAGTCTACAGCCCTGAATGTCCAGATCTAAAACAAACAACATTGACAAATATCATTATACGTATATGTTAGGCCTGTCGCAATAAACAGTAAATCAACTAATTGTATGATGAATGAAAATGATCAACCTCATTTTCATTTACCGGCTTTATCGTTTCTTCGTGTCTCTCTCTTTCTCCTGAAGACACGACTCAACTCCGGTGCTCTTCACTGACCCCTCCCTTTCTCTTTTCGCTTTAAAATCTGTTTTAACCGTCCAAAATTGCGTTTTTGGATCGTTAAAAGCAGCTAAGCTGAGAAGCTAAGCTAACAGGCCAACCTTGGGAATAAACTTCCATCTTGTCGAGCTCCAAAATTCACAGTTGAAACCCGTGCCGTCGTCTAAAAAGTTGTTTTTCTCTGCAAAAAGAAGCTGAGAACGTGTTTACCGATTTTTTTTTTATTAAAAGCTTTGTGTGAAAAATGCTATGCTAAAGAGCTCAAACCACTGAGCGTCTGCCATGTCACCATGTCAACCCATGTCACGTCAAGGGCCCTCCCTCCCATTTTTCTTAGAGAGACGCGCTGCTCAACTTTCCTTCCTTTGGTTCAAACTGTCTTATATTGCCATCTGGTGGTGAAAAAAAGTACTACACTCCAAACAAATCAACATTTCTTCTAAAATTTGATAATTAATTATTGTTAAATTTCAAACAATGTTATCGTTTATCGCAATAATTTCTGAGACAATCACCCAGCAAAACGTGTTATCGTGACAGGCCTACGTATACATTAATATATATATTTTACATTATTAGTGTTAGCCTGTATTGTTTAGCATTCGTTTAGCGTATATCCTAGTGTACTGTTATATACTGTTACTCACACAAACATGACCAAATGGCTTGTTGGTTACAAACTAAAAATTCTGCTGGACTTCAACTGAAGCTTCACCTGCATTCTTGCAAATATGAGTTGCTTACTAGTCTCCAAGTTTCGCGATCCAGCATAACATAAAATCCACCATGATTATGAGTTGAAAACCATTAAGTCATGACGGTCTACATGGCTTCTAGGTAATCCGAGGTATTTCCCCCTCACTTTAAGAACAGTTTTGAGCCCAGTGACAGATTTAACCTGAACCCAACGTGGATGTTTGCCAAGGAGACTTAAAAGCTCCTTTGCAACAACAATGGAAGACATCCTGTGTTTTTTCAACAAAGATATACAGCTCTATTCTGGGAATACTGATGTTATTAAGACAAAAAGGAAAGTCCCCCCATGCATTGTGTGTCCTTGGGCAGTCTGCTTTCTTTGAGCACAGCAATAAGCTTAACAGATGTTGTGTGCAATGTTTAAAACATCATAGAGTAAAAGTTAGACGAACCCTACCCTTGTCCTTGAAGGTATTTCTGCTAGTTCCCAAGAGAAAGCCAGGTCATGTAGAGTTTAAAGAGCAAACAGTGCTTCTGTGGGTTGAGTTGCACTCAAACAGCTGCACATTTGCAGCTGTACCTTTAAATATGGAAGCATGGCTGATGTGATGGGATCAGCTGCTCAAAGGAATGTGCCATTAACCCCCAAAGCACCTTGGGGGAACAAATGTATACATTCTGCTTATTTGCTATTTTTGATTCTCAATATATCTGTCAGTTTAAAGAGTGAGTAATTTTATGAACTTGGGCCAGGATTTGTTTTTTAATATTATTTTTTAAATTTCACGACCCCCTTTATTGCAAGGTGTATAGAAAGGTGTACACTCTTTACCCTAAAGACTGATTTGGTCCCATTGACTCCCATTATAACCACATATTTTTGATGTACTGTAACCCTGACATTATATAATGCTTTTTTCCACAAATACCTAATAAATCTAAGCCTCTATCTTCAAAATAAAGGGAAAGCAGGTGTTAGTTAAGTCAAGTCAAGTGTATTTAAAAAGCACATTTAAAACAGCAGCTGTTACCAAAGAGCTTAACAATACGATCAAGGCAGTAATTAAAGAAAGAAATAACAAGATGTAATTAAAAGCATCAAAAATAAAAAGACAAAAACAATGAGAACCAATGAAATACCAAATCAAGTCACACTGTGTTAAACGTCAGTGAAAACAGGTGTGTTTTTAAAGAGAGATTTAAAATCAGGGAGTGAAGTGTCCTGTCTAATGTTCATGGGCAGATCGTTCCAAAGTTTAGGGCCCATGACTGAAAAAGCCCGATCTCCTCTGAGCTTCAGCCTGGTTTTTGGTACAACCAAAAGCAGCAGATCAGATGATATCAGCACCTGAAAAGGAACATACATTATGGTTGAAGTAGGTTGGAGATGTATGAGGGTGCAAGGTCATTAATGCACTTAAATGTCAATTCTGTTTCACAGGGAGCCAGTGAAGGGAGGACAAAACTGGTTAAATATGCTCAAACCTATGAGTTCCTGTTAAGAGCTGAGCTGCAGCATTTTGGACGAACTGGAGACATGAAAGGGACAGCTGACTGACCTCAACAAAAAGCGCATCACAGTAGTCTAGCTGGGTTGTAGCAAATGCATGGACTAGTCTTTCAAGGTCAGATCTGGTCAATACTGACTTAAGCTTAGCTATCTGCCTTAACTGGAAGAAGCTTTTTATGTAGAACAGAGTTAGTCTGTTTATTAAACTCAAAGTCAGATTCTAAAACCATCCCGAGCTTTGTAACAGACATCTTAAGATATGGCTGAAGAGAAGGTTAACAGGAACAGAGACAGCAGTAGAGCTAAACACAATGAGTTCAGTTTTCTGATTGGTGAAACTTAAAAAGTTTTAAGTCATCCATGCCTTAATGTCATCAAAGCTAACTATTGGGTTTTAAGGGCAGATAATTCAGACAATCATCAGCATAGCAATGAAACAAAAGACCACGTTTTCTTAAGATAGACCCCTGTTTTAGTTGTGAATTGTGAAACGTTAAAGGTTTCTATGACAAAATGGTATGAAAATGTAAAAATTATGAAGATTTTTTTTCGAAAACCATATTTAAAGTTAGGTCTGAAGTTGTTGAAAAGATTTGATGCAGTGGAAGTAAAAAAAAAAGTATTTACATGACATTTTTATTAGACTTTTTTGAGAGGGACCATTTTGTCCCCAAAGGTGTTACGTATATAGTTATTTTAAAGGTGCTTCAAGGGTTAAATAACTCCATTTGGGTTTCTCTATGTAAATAATATTATTTTGAAAAAATTCCTACTATATTTAACATCCTCTGACCGATTACAAAATAGGTTGCAAAAATATTCCCTTGTTGGCAATTTTCTCAAGTTTGCTATTTAACTTGTGACTTTTATCTTTTAATTTACCCAACTACTGCTCCCTAAAACCTGTTTTCCATTTATTTTGAAGTTAGAGGCTTCTAGGTATTTTAAAGGTAGAGGCTTTATTAGGTGTTCATGGAAAAAGGCATTATATTACGTCAGGATTACACTGCATGAAAAATATGTGGTAATAATGGGAAACAATGGGACCAAATCAGACCTTGGGGTAAAGAGTGTATTCTATACACCTTGCAATAGAAGGGGTCAAGAAAATTTAATAATTCTATAAAAACAAATCCTGGCCAAGTTTCATGAAATTAATCTTTAAACTGACAGATACATTGAAAATCACAAACAGTACGTAAACAGAATGTACACGTTTGATCCTTTAATCACCAAACATGATTGAGGGTAAATTAAGCATTCATTATGCTTAATGAGCATAATCCCATGAGCATTAAAGATGCCAAATGTGACATACAACAACCTGAGTGTACATCTTTCATTCTGAGTAACAGACTGAATTTGTCAGATTTCATGGATAACTGAGTATCATCAGCATAACAACGTACATTTATCTCAATCTGTCTAATAACGTCACCTAATGAGTTGGGGTTAGGGATATTGGATTTTTGGCCGATACCCAATATGCTGATATGTTAAAACTTATTGGCTGTAACTAGTACTAGTACCAATATTTTTTTTTCCCCCTAGACCTACTTACAGAGCTACATAGCTTTCTCTGCTGTGGAATTAAAATACTTCATTATTCTTTATGGTCTTTGTCAATTTGACCTGCTACCAAATGCAGATGCCAAAAAGGGGGCTGAAAATGATGTAACACTTCAACTTGGATTATGTTTAATGTCAAATTTATTCATGACATCTAGTCTCTCTAACACAGTGACAACACTCGAACAGTGCA